TTGAAATGACAGCACTATCTGAAAATAGAGAGCCATTCAGTAGAGCCTTAATTATTAAAACCAATTGAGATCACGCTTAATATGAATATATATATCTATTCAGACTACTAAATTTTTCTACCAAAATATAAGGTATTTCAACATTATAATAATTACATCAGCATAAATTTTTTGGTGTAGTTAACCAAAGTTTTACTGAGTAATAACACAACACAAAAAAAAAAAACCAGCACAGGGGGGTCGCAGCAGAGTGGTGACGTGGCATTGTTGGGTCAAGTATAATGATATCTGACAGTGATTAAAATCACTATCATAAAAAACGCTTCGATGCAAATCTTTAGATAGTGTTTAGTTTTAAAAAATTAGTTGATTATTCCAAAAGCTATTTCTTTATTTATATCCTGATTAAGATAAAGTATATCGAATAAAAGAGGGATATAAATATTATTTCTCATAAAAATTGTATTGATGTAAAATGTAAAAAATAAAATCGAGTATTTTTATACAAAAATAGCATTCGGTAGTCATTTTCACTGTGAAGATAAAATAAAGTCCGATTTTTTCATAATAAAGTATATTACATTAGCTTTAATTTAAGATATATATAAAAGTGTCAGACTTTTCGGAACATTTTCAAAAGTCAAGGTGAAAAAATTTATTTTTTGTGAAAAAGTTGTCATTTTAAATCCCCCCCTGTGGGCAGTTAAAGGGTCAGATATAAAAAAAAAATATACCAAATGAAAGATAATGATATCATGCATCTATATAAAAAAAAATTATATTGATATGTTCATTTTTAAAAAAGTTATGGGAGTTTTTAGTAAAAAAAATTGAAAAAATTTCGAAAATTAGCGATTTTTAAATTTGTAATCTTTTTGGAGGTTTCCCCCATTTACGGGGAACGAGGGATTTTTTTTCTTTTTTTGAGGGTAATGTCTTCGACTAGATACGATTTGTGATCTTTTGACGTATCATTGAAAGAAATCGGTTCGGTGAGACCTGAGAAAAAGTGGTAACAGACACAAAAAA